TTCCTGTTGGGCTTCCAATACTGTACCCTTTAGAAGCTTACTTTATGTATATAAGAAGTTCCATTAAAATTGATAGGACTACTCATGTACTTAGTTACACATGGTAAAATACTCTTTTAAAGAGGTCCTAAGACAAAAATAAAACTGCATCCCTGTGGACTCAGTTCTTTTGCAGATGAAGTAAGACTGAACATGACCCATCTCTACCTTGAGGCTCTAGGGGAACAGAGAATCCAAGGAACTCTCTCAGTCACTGCACAACAGTAGCCTGTTTCTTGCTAGTTAAAGTGAGCACAGAGGAGGCGGGACCACGATAAAGGGGAAAGTACAATGCACCCTTGATAAGTTACTGCAGCAGTAGCAGCGCTGCCCAGGAGCTCTCAGAGATAGTGTGCAGCTGATTCTAAATGCTTCCTAGAATTCTTATCAGGAATATACAGCTGAAAAACAACCTGCACCACACTGCAATGTGGTAACACATGGTGCCCAATTCGATGTTGAGGATTAATGTTAATGCACTCATTTTAAAGAACAGTTCCCAGTAGCCAGAGAAGCATTAAAATGAAGAACATTTTGATATATGTGCGTCATGTATTCAGCTGTGTTTTTCTCCAAAGCAGTTCTCTAGGAACACCTTGCCATCTGCTGGAAATATATAAACACACATTCCTGTAGGAAGACCTACTCCATAACTCCAATAGGTATCATTTAAAATAAAATAACTCAGAATGCTATATCCTAAAACCAATACTTTAGACAGTGGCAGCACATAGCCATGATGTCTTAGTAAGCATCATACTGTAACCAAAGGCATTTATACACATACTTTTTAGTCCTGCGCACTGAAGATCTGCCACTTTCGGAGCAGACTTGATAATCAAGTCTACTCTGCACACAAGCTGAGGTGCACTGCACTGCATTGCATGCAGTTGTATAAGCAGCAAAATGCGCATCAGTGTGCAGAAAATGACAGCAGTGCGCTTTTCAAATAAAGCACCTTCTATGTGTTTTAGTTCAAAAGCGCACTACTGCCATTTACTCAGTGCTGATGTGCATTTTGCCACTTATACAATTGCATGCATCGAAGCATTGGGCACTTTTCAAAGTGCCCGGCACTGTGGCACTTACATGTATAAAAATGCCTTAAATGCTTAGTCCTGTATTCCTTGCTAACTCAAACTCAGCTCTCATTAATGACTGTGATTCATGCCTGGATGCTAACTTTGAATACTTATCAGGGCATAACATGTGCCTGAGAGCTAGATTCTGAGCCCAGTCACACCCATGTTAGTCCAAAATAACTCCAAAGTCAGTTGGGGTGTAATTTGGCATGCCACTCACCCTTACTTTAAAGAGTTTACTCAATCAGCTGCTTATCATTCTTCTAGGTGGGATGAACTCAGTCCAGCTCATCAAGAAACTTGATAATGAACTTTAGCAGGCATTATTGCAGGCCTTTGGTTAGTATCAGCTCAAGCAAGTCTGAACTATTCAAAAATTTAAAATAGCAAGAACCCACCAACAATTTCTTTCCAACAAGGGCCTCACCCTACTCCTTAAGGAGTACTGCAGCTAACCCTCGTGACTGCAGTGCCAGCTGCTACCACACTTAAAGATATTCTTTGACTCTGTTTCACAGTTGTTAGGGGCTGGAAGAGACCTTACAGATCATCAGGTCCAGCCCCGCCTGCACTTGAGCAGGAAAGACTGCTGGGATCAGACCCCAGCAAGATGGGCATCAAGTGTTCTTACCAACCTGTGGTTTTGTCACTGAACTTACTCCTTTGAACGTTCAATCACAATTCATCACATAGAAAAGGGGAAGAAAGATCTAGACTCCAGAGATTTGCTGATGCTGCATTAAACAGCACTCTCATATTTGTGCTGGATCTGATCGAAGCTACTTTTCAAACACGACTCAAGTATTTCCAAAGAATATATTTTTCCAATTTTTTCTTTTCTCACAAAAGGAGCAGTTCAATTTCTGGTGTGCTCTTAAATATGAAAAGAGGACATCAGGTATCAATAAAAGATACATTTTTCCAGTGGTTCCACCCACTCCACCCACCTTTTTCTTTCTAAATGTGGGATCCTGGCTTGAATCCTTTATTTCAACCTAGCACAAATTGGAATCGCTGAGTTAGAAGCCTCTCAGAAATAGTGTTAGTAATAGGAATATTTGCAGATCTTTAACTTTAATTGTAGTGGGCCCTCATATAACAATTGTCAATTTATTAGGCTGAAGGTAGCTTAATGGCATATGAAAAACATAATGTTTTGCAATCTGAAAAAAATCAGGTTCGGGAACATATTCAGGATTTCAGGCTTTAGGCCAACCAGAGTTGGTTGTATTTCAAAAATAATATGCCAGGTACAATGATCTTACAATATGTTGCACTTGCAAACCTATTACAACCTTGTTAATTAATTCATAGAGTGAAACTGACATCGTATCCAAAAAGAGCCATCTGCCTACCCTTTTCCATAGGCATGGGGAGCATCTAATAAGAAATGAATATATTTTAAAAGTCGTGGGCACTTAATGAAACATTCCAAAGCAGTAACAATTGAGACATTTTTGTTAAAATGATAAAAGCTATATTAATCAATGAAAGAAACCCTTAATGTGATACATTTATAATATCAATAGTTTGCTTTTTAAAGTCTTGTAAATATGCATGGTAGTTTTTTATGTACAAGATGTGGTGGGGGAGACATTTCTCCCTGTAACAGGGAACTGGAGGCTCCTGTTACTTTTAAGGGGAGAGGGCAGCAACCAGGTCTACTGTGGCAGCTGAGCAAAGGCCAGCTGCTAGAAAGCAAACAACCCAGAGGCAACAGGGATAAGAGCTGCAACTGGGAGAGCGGATCCTGGAGCTACGCAGAAAAAGGGGCAGAACTCTAGGCAGCCAGGAGACAGTTAGGGGGAACATGACTTGCTGTGGGGTAACGATCCAAAATTGGGTGCAAGTTTTGGTTTGAAGCAGATGCTTATGTTTCTGTTTTGACTAGAGATTCAGACTGTGACTATGGGAGTGGTCTGAAGATCATAGGGGTTCTGAGTCAGGCTCAGTGCATAAGTCCCTGTAGGGAGCAGGGACCCAAGGGTGGATGAGAAAGAAAGAGCAGTATCATTTCATGTTGGGAACAGAGGTTGAGACAGGGCCAGGGGGAGAAGACAGGGCCAGGATTATTGCCCCTAAAGCACATTGTTCCCTAAGGCAAGGATACAGCTAGGAGTGCCACCATTTAGTAAACTAGCTTTTGTGGACTTTGATGCAACTGCTCCCATTATGTGAACTAGCTGGAGTACCTCCACACGCCACTGCAGAACTTATTCTAAGTATCATTAGCCCAGAGAGGGAAACTGAAAGAGTTTTAAGGGACAGTTTTGAAACCTTACTGGTGACTCCATTGGAGGGATACTAATTCTTGCTTAATAGGAATAAAGTTTGTCAAATCAAGGCCTCTGTGGTTTATCCCTTCTTTTGCCTCTCCCACCACTACTCGGGTGCACAGCTGGAAGTAAAGGGCCATAGCTGGAAATAAAGCTTTACGTTTCTTCATCTCTAAGTTCTCTACAAGAAAACAGTAGAATAAAAAACGTATTTTATCCATCTCAATTAGCAGACATAACCCCTCAATACCTCCAGGGGAAATCATCCTGTTTCCTTTGACATATCTTAGATGCAGGCCATAACGGACATTTAGGTAGCTCAGCAGCATCACCAGTACATATATACCATCCTTTGCTTGTTTGAGGTTTTTACTGGGTTTGTGTTTTTTAAAATCATTGGTGATGTTGCTTGCTTGTTTTTCTTAGTCACTTCCTTTGTCCCCACGTTTTGTGTGTGTTGATTGTTGTTTTCCTCCTTTGAAAATATGTTTAAAAGAAGATTTGTTTGGTGTTTGACTTGTATCTCCTTTTCAAAAGAAGGGATGTCTAAATGAAACACAAACAGTTGCTGAGCATGGATCAGGATCAAGTCTATTAGTTTGTCTGCCCCCTATGCGCAGATGCATGAGGACAGGAAGATATGGATTTTATTGAAGAGGTCACAAAACTAGCAGAGTGAAGATGCGCTTTCTGAACCAAATTGGAAAATGGCTCACTGAGGAACTTCTATTTTGATTGAACGTCGAGGCTTCTTTTCATTGATGAACTTATTAATTGGTTTGGAACCGTTACTTTTACTGAGGGATGCAGTGACCTCTGCTGTTCCAAGTGTGCCTGGAAACTGATTACATAATGATATATTATGTAGCAAATTGCTCTTTTTATTAGATATAAAGTATGGAGACAAGGCCTAAAATTATAAAAGAAAATATGTGAAAGTGTAGCACACACTTGCACAGCAGAAGGAGCTGCCACCGAACATGCAAGGCTTACCACGTCGGGGGGGGGGGGCCCACAGACACCTCCTGTTGCCACAGCAATTCCGTGGGTCATAATCTGTGGCTCAAGAGGTGATGACACAAATAACACCCTGTTTTCTATCATGGGACACGCTGAAGCGAGTCAGAAACTCAGCTCCCAACTCCAAGAGCACTCCCCAGACAGGGAACTGAAGTGATGTGCTGGCAGCAAAGCCATGCAGAGCTGAAAACAGAACCCAGGAATCCCCAGACACTAGGGCTACCCCCTGCTTCAGCACCTTGCCCCCCAAACCCTCCCAGAGCTGCAACCACAGAGCTGTGCCCAGGAGCCCCAGAGCCCAGCAGGCCCAAGACCCTGAGATCACCCAGCCCCGGTTACTAAGTAGATTAGCTAGGTTCCCTATCCCCTTTTCCTATTGGCTGCAGGTGTTCGCTTGCCTCCTCCTTTTTTTTCATTGGTTGCGTGGCCCCTGCCGGCCAGGTAACGGATGCGAGCTTTTGATTGGTCAGACGCGGGCGGGATCCCTCATGGGATTGGCTCCAGGTGGGCCGGCGCTTGCTATTGGCCGGCAGGTAGCGTGGGAGGCGCTCTATTGGCTGTTGTGGGCGCTAACCTGCTGGGTCCGCCATGTTTGGAGTGGTGGTGCTGGTGCTGCCGCAGCCGTGGGGCGGGGGGCGCTGAGTCGGGCCGAGCTGAGGTGGGCGCGGGGCTGCGCGGGGCAGGCGGGGCTC